AATAAAACAGCTAATTTAAACACTGTTAATGTCTACAGCTACCATGTTTGGATACAAACATTATCCTGAAACCAGAAGTTTACTGGATGGAAAGGAGGGAAGGACCACAATAACAGTAGCTTAGACAAGAGAGTCTTCCCTGAGGCTCTAGGACTGGGCTAGGTGCTCCACCCAAGCACTCTCACAGCACCCTGTACTCACCCCTGTTGTCACACTCAACACATTATGTTGTAGCTGCTTAATTGCTGGTCGCCCTGATTACACTGGAAGTTCCTTGAACGCAGGGATTGTGCTCATTCCCTGATGTACCCCTAGTGCCTGACACATACTAAACACTCTGTAAATATTTGTTGGGTAACTGTTGAATAAATAACCAACTAGCCTCACCTACTGATCTGCCAGGAACAACAGAAGCAGGGAAGAACAGCATCACATGACACAGCAGTAAGAGGCAATAACTTAGACATCGTTACCAAAAGCTTAGTGTTTTGGTAGTTGCCAGGTGGACACAAGTTCCCATCAAAATGCGATTGATGGAACCCTCAGAAATTTCCATTCAGTAATGTTCCTACAGTATGTCATACTACACCTGTCTATTATAGGTGGCACCAAAGGATACACAACATTTTGATGGGGTCATTTTGACTATTTATCCCACTCTTAGACATACCTCAGCAACATTTGCAAACAGAGTATTAATCACAGGCGGCTACGTATAAGAAATTAATACTATTCAAGATTCAAAAGAGGAAAAATGAGTTGGTGGTGGCTATATTTTACTAGGAAATTCCTCTGGCTATATTTTATAGGAATTAGGTGGAGGATCTATTGTGCAACTGCTTAGCACACTGTTTGAAAGGATTGACAAAACCTTTTCCCCTTCTCCATGAAAATATGACCTTTGGCTAACTTTCTAGCTCTGTTCCTCTGGCAACCTGATAAAAGTAGTAATGGCAACCATGTTGCTAGGCAACATTACTTATGGTAGAAATGACCCTTAATTGGTAAACTGCATCTGCACTGTGAAAACTATAAATACTGATAGGGAGCCACAGCTTTGGTCGTCCCCGGCTCTTGTAACAGGCATATCTCTTGTAGAGACCCGGGAAGTTACATCTATGGAAGAGATACCTTCCATGGGACAGGAGGCTTTTAAGCCAGGGCAGCTTCCTTACCTGTCTGATATGGATCTGTCTCCTTGTACCTGAGCTATGCCACATGGACAGCTGCAGAGACACCCACAGAAGGGCAACATCTAGCTCTGCCCTTCTGGCAAGCTGTACCTCCCATTCTATATCCTTCTAAGTGAATTGGATACCAAACTTAAAAGTTTGTGGTTTGAATGCTTCTAAACATTCAGGTGAGCCTAAGTAGACCCCTGGAGAGCATGGCGATACTATTTGCTTGTTTTTCTGGTAGCAGTAGATGCTCTACAGGGGCTATGGAGAGTCAAAAGACTTGAAACTGTTTGGAATGCTTTTCTGCCTCCAAAAAAAAGTCTTGTTCATACCCTTCACAGTTTGCATGACAGACAATTCATTTCCACTGCATGTCACCAAGACATGTATCTCAAATCAACACTGTCCTTCAAAATCCCCAAGTGTGTCACTTCATCCAAGCACACAATCCCCACTCTAATCCCACCTATTTTAAATATGCTACTGACAAAGGTCCAAAATTCAAAGAATGGATATACAAAATCGGCCCAAAAAACCATAGTTGTCAAATGAAGAATTGGCTGTAGTAAACTTATCTACTTGGAGGGTCAAAACAGATACTAAATGTGCTCCTTTAATTATGAAATTCCATATCATCCCATCATGCAATGGTGTGAGCTACCGTCACCTTTTAAAGCAAGGATATGTTAAAAACCAACCAAACTACTCCTGTCAAAAAAAGCTTTTCACTTATCTCTAAAGAAGCATCATTTGAAGAAAAGAATTTAAATTTTCAGCGTTACAATGAAAGCTCTGAGGAACACCATGATAGTTGGTAGAAAGACTGAACTACAAAAGCAATGAAAATATTGAATAAAATGAATCAAGTGCCCCCTTTTCTGGGTTAGAAGACAGTGTGATCACACGAAAGTACAAGGCAAGCCACAAGAGACCAACAACAACAGGGAGTACAGTGATAATGCTCAAAACAGAGCGTAATAGGCACCTCTCACCCACCCCAACACTTTGCCCCTCCCTACTGGGTTACACTAGACTTCATGGAAATAATTCTAATCTCTATGCACAAAGGATACATGAGAAAAACCTAGAAGTCCAAATGAGACAGTTTGAATTCCGCTGACCAAGGCCACTGCAGTGTTCCCCACTGCTCTAGGATCAGTGCATGCAGACCTGCCTGTAGCCTTTCTCCCTGCGGGGAGAAATTAATAACAACAAAAAACCCATCACAGTATCCGGAACTAACAGAGTACAAAATTCCACATTTTGCAGACCACTAACTAGGACAGCAGTTTTCTCAAGGAATATTCAAAGTCTAGTGGCCACCAAAATATTTACATCAGAATGGCATCTTTTTACTAAATACCAGAAATCACGATGCTCTGTGTCATTTCTTATTACAGTTGCAAGCCTTATTTACATTCCTTCTCAATCCTTGCTATGAAAGCCTGTCCCCTTTCCCCAAGAGAAACAAGTTACTAAGAATGCCTAAGAATTTTTGAATTCCGTTATAAGAATCCTGTTCCTATCCATGCAATCAAATATAAGACAAAAATACCCCTTTGCATACTTGGACTGAATGTGCCAGAAAGATTCCAGAATCAAAACTAAATCACTAATGGTCTGTGTTGAGCCCAACTGTGAACTTCTTGTAAAAGTATCACCAACTCTACAATTTAAGCCTTGAAGACACTGTACAAATTATAAATACTGACCACCAAAAAGTGAACATCAGTTTAGAACAGAGAACCAGTTTACAATCTGATAGTCCAGACAAAGGAAGTATCTCCTCTACCAATGCCAACAAACAAACCCAAAACAGCCAACCAAGAATGCAACAATCCAAGATACTATGGAAGAAACGGAATTATTCCAATATTAAGCCTCACATTCTGTTTTTCTCCCAATGATTCTTCTACTTCAATATTTAATAAAATGATCAGAGCCTAGTAACGGTTCTGGGCATATAAATCAAAGTCAACATTTCTCACTTTCCACATCTAAACCTAATCAAATCTTGGACAAGCTCTGAACCATCCTAACACCAGCTCCCCCTCTTACTAATCCACCATTTTCCAAAACTCTCGGGAGCATCAGGGCCTGTTCAATGTTACGAAGGTAGCCTAAAATATAACACAAAATTAAGTTCACTTATTAAAGGTCATTTTAAAAATCCTACTTTATTTTACAGCAGGGCTTCTCAACCTCAGTACTATTGACATCTTGGACTAGATAATTCTTTGTTGTGAGGGGCTATCCTGTGTATTGTAGGATGTTTAGCAGTATCCCTTGCATCTACCCACTAGATGGGTACAGATGTACTATGTGACTCACCAGAATTGACCACATCCAACCTGGTCCATACCCTGTTCAACACGATCAGGCCACTGATCACACCCTTGAGTGTTACAACAATGTCAAATTGTTATGAAAATTTCTATACACTTACTCTTAATTTCTGACTGTCCTCAATGCAGACCAGCAGCAAACAATTCACAGACTAGCCCTAGTCTGTGAGAAGTACAGTTTAAACACCCTTCTAACTCTTCAGTGACGACATATACAAGCCAATTTATAATGTTTTTTAGTTAATTTTTGTTGTTGTTGTTCAAGACGCAGAAACATAACTATACTAAAATTGAAGGAAGAAAAGGTGTTTCTCTTAAAATCTATTTTGGATATTTTAACATAAGACAAAATTATGAAAGCACCTTAAATTACATCCTATGCCCCTAATATTTCCTGCCCCTTAACCCTTTAAATAAGTCCAGCCTCTTTTTTTTGGAATAATTAGACTACAAAGTGAGTGAAAAGACTGGTTTTAAAAACCTGTTTTAAAAACCTACTAACTCGCTTTCCCTCAAGAGGACCTTTGAAAAGGCAGAAGATTTAGAACTATAACTTATTTGTATGGGTTTACACTTATGTCCAATTAGAGTTCTCTTCATAAACCAAGTAAAAGAAATGGCAGCTACATTTCAGGTTACACAGTATTGGCTCTTGGAAATGGCTGGAAAAAAGGAGGGTGGGGCATTTGGGGTTTTGCCCAGATGACTTGTTTTATGATCACAGAACAGGTTATTTGTGTGTGTAGAAGCCAAATACCAAACCAGATAGGGAGACCACCCAGACCTGGGCTCCCAGGTTCCTTTCCCAAGGCTACTTAAAATTTAATTCAACTCTGCAAGTCAGGATGCTATAAAAAACCTTTCAGTTGGACTCCATGCTTGTCTGTACATTAATATCCCAGCCTTTAAAAGTGTAATCACATGGTTAGGAAGTACCTTTTACCAACATGGAGCCAGACAGCCCTGCGTGCCTTGTATCAGTGGAGCTTTTTGTTTACTACTTCGCCGGAAAATTAAAACACAGAATTCATTAGGAGAGGTTTGGCAAATATAAGATAGACCCCAAAACATAAAGTACTCTTGCTCACCTTTTCAGAGAAAAGAGGGTGAAGACAAAGGAATGCAGAGGAATGAGACAACACGAAAACAAGCGTGGATATTTTCTCATCTCTCTTTTGACTAGAATTTGGGTGCACAACAGGAAAACCAGGAAGCCTCAGCACCAGCCCTGATTCACTCAGAATTAACAACAGCCCGGCAAAATCCTCAGAAACCAAGGGCACCACACTAAAAAGTTATTAGTCCTTTGCGTTACAAAATCTAACCACCGCCATATAGTCTAACAAAAATGCAAATATTGTAACAACAGTGAAAAAAACGTTCCTCTCGGGGTTCCCCAAAATTGGACAAACGGGTGACTTTCAACCACGGAATGGGCAGTAACAAATTCTAAAACCTCTTCCCCGTCAGTTGATTGCTACGTAAGCGCCTCTCGATCTGAGAAGCTGGGTCGAATTTGTGGTTTGTCATTGGAATCATCTCTGGCAGGGTCGTTCTCCTCACCAGACTCCACACAGATGGGCCAGTCATTGTCTGTGTCGCTCTTCTCTTGGCTTTCAGAGGAAGCCTCCACCAGGCTGAGGTTGATGGGCATCAAGTCGTCATCATCGTCATGTGCGTCTGTAACACAGGTGCAGCTGTCACAGAGCCCAAAGCGCCGTAGCCCCTGAGACAAGTGACTCGTGAAGGTTCTTCTGCAGCCCTTGCAGATGATTGGACGGTTGGATCTATGGACCTAGAATCACAGGCAGACAAGTAAATGTCACAGAAAAGGGGTCGAGCCATTGACCTACAAGGGCCCCTGTGAGCTGGACCTCCAGACTCATTCCTCACCACTCTCCCCCTTGCTCTTTCTGCCACCTACTCACCTCACCAAGGTCCTTTCCATCCCCAGGGCCTTTGGACATACATGGAACATTCCCTCCCCTCCTCATTTCTAATCCTCACCCCTTACTAAGGCCTTTCAAGGAAGTCTTCCCTGATGCTCCAAGCCAGCTTAGGTTCCCCAGCGATAGACTTTTGCTCTTGTTGTGTTTCTCACAAATGGCTTGTATAATTCACTAGACTCTAAGCTCAAGGAGGCAGGGGCCATGACTGTCTCATACAGGCACTGTATCCCTAGTGCCTGGCAAGTGGTGGTTCAGTGGTAGAACTCTCGCCTTCAATGTGGGAGACTCGAGTTTGATTCCCGGCCAATGCATCTCATGTGCAGCCACCACTTGTCTGTCAGCGGAGGCTTGTGTGTTGCTATGATGTTGAACAGGTCTCGGCGGAGCCTCCTTTAGTTAACTAGTGCTGCTATAACAGAAATATCACAAGTGGGTAGCTTTAACAAACAATAATTTATTTTCTCACAGCTTAGAAGGCTAGATGTCTGAATTCAGGGTGCTTCTATCCCTAGGTTCCTTCGTGATCATGTGGCATGTATCTTTTCCCTCCATTTGTACTTGTTTGCTTGCTTTATTTGCTCTTTTATATCTCAAAAGAGACTGACTTAAAACATCCCCTACACTAATACTGCCTCATTAACATAACAAGGAAAACCCATTCTTAAATGGAATTATAACCACAGGTATAGGGGTTAGGATTTACGACACATATTTTTGGGGGACACAATTCAATCTATGACACAGACTGAGATGGACTATGAAGAAAGGCCTGGTGATCTACTTCTGAAAATCACACCAGTGCGGGGTGGAAAAAATACCTATGAATCACAATGGTTCGATCTGCAAGCAATCACGGGGAAGGTGCAGAACCGGGCAGCATTTTGTTCTATTGTACATGGGGTCACCATGAGTCAGGACCGACTCCACAGCAGCTAACAACAGTGTCTGGCATATAATGAACATTCAGTGAACGGATTAAGAATTTAGGCATGGCTTCTTACATACTTTGGATTGCTTAGTTGTTTTTTCAAGACTTTTTCAGGCTAATTTGCTAGAGTAGGTAATGTATTCCCCAGTCCTGCTAGAGGATGCTTCACCCTCAGCTTCCTCATTGATAAATTCATTCCTTACTTATGAGAAGAGCTTTGCATACTGAAAAAGTGAACCTGATTCCCTACCCCACACTGCCCCTCCGATGTCAGCAGCCTCAGGGATCCCCTCTGCAACAGAGGCTAACTTTCTAATGCGTGTGCACTTCAGAAATCCAGCCGGTAGGGGCTCTCTTGTGCAGGTGACTCTGTGAACCAATCAGAGCCTCTCTTGAGAGAGCTCTGGATGCAGGATATGCACAGGATGCAGAGTCAGGGAGCGGATGACGCAGGGAGCCACCGATGCAACAGGATACCCATGAAATCCTGACAAATGTCTCACTTTCTATTAGGTTTTCTGGGCTTCCTATGGTAAACACCCAACACTTGAGTCAACTAGAGTGTGTATCTCCCTCTTGCAACTTGACAGAGCCTTTGAATAACACCTCTTTGGGCTACAGTAAACTGGACCTTATATGATGTGGAAAGATAGAGTGAATAAGAATCCAACCATGAAACATCTTAGAAAAACCCAGAACTACTGCTCACCAAGATGGACTGGAGATACAATTTGAAACTAAAAAAACAACAATAACAACAACAAACACACACACACACACAAAATGAAAAACAAAAAAACTAAGCCCTTGGAGTCAGGCCGTTCTCAGACAGGTATGCTGGGGGCAGGACTGAGAGCAGAGGCAGTCAGGAACCCTGCACTTACTTACTTTTTTTATATCATAATTTTTTATTTTATTTTACTTTTTTTGTTTATTGTTGTAGTTTAAATGAAGTTTACATTTCAAGTTAGTCTCCCATACAAACATTTATACATACATTGTTATGTGACCCTAATTGCTCACCCTATTCTGCAACAGCACACTCCTCCTTCCCACCCCTGGTTCCCCATGCCCATTCAACCAGCTCCTAACCCTCTCTGCCTTCCCATCTCACCTCCAGACAGAAGCTGCCCATTTAGTCTCTTGTATCTACTTGAGCTAAGAGGCACACTCCTCACGAGTATCACTTGATGTCCCACAGTCCAGTCCAATCCCTGTCTGAAGAGTTGGCCTTGGAAATTGTTTTAGTTCTGGGCTGACAGAGAATCCGGGGGCCATGCTTTCCGGGGCACCTCCAGTCTCATTCAGACCGTTAAGTCTGGTCTTCTTACTAGAATTTGAGTTCTGCATCCCACCTTTCTCCTGCTCCATCAGGGACCCTCTTTTGTGTTCTCTGTCAGGGCAGTCACTGGTGGTAGCCGGGCACTATCTAGTTCTTCTGGTGTCAGGCTGATGAAGTCTCTCGTTT